GAATCCATGTTGCCCGCCTTGTGATTAGCTCAATACGTTACAGGACATGGTTCGCATTCGGTTCCACTGACCTGTCTGTTGTCGTTTCCTAGCCGAACTGCTTGTTTAAAGTGTGCTTATGGCCTAGTTATCCTCGGGTTATTGACTGATTAGTATGCGGAGCAGTGAGCGCCGCTGGCAAGCTATCTCGCTGATGCCGCCTTTTCACGATAGCCAGCTGTTTGTGACGGTTTGTTGCTGACAGAATGTAGGCGTGTACCCTTACAACGACCATTTTTTACCTAATAACTTGTCCTTAGCGATGTCTGTAGACTAGATAGTAAAAATTCTTAGTAATAAGAAATATGCTGTTTGCACTGTTTCACAACCAACACAAGGCGGATGCGACTTAGAAATCTCATAGGTCGGACTATATCGCAGTTAGGTTTTCATTCATGGGGGTTAGTTACCGTCCCCCATTGCTCAGTGGCATACGTCGCTGGATAGTGGTGCACACCACTAGCGGTCATGGTTTTGATACCAAAACAGGGGACCGAAGAATGCGCACCACTGGCGAGTCCCCATATGGCGAAACCACCGTCTGATGCTTTTCCGGATTGTTAGCTAACCTCTGCGGTTTGAAATCTTATTTCGATGAACCAAATCGAAAATTGCATGTCTGAAGACAGAGAATATAGGGCCGGCAATCCGTGATGCAAACGTTGTATGTGAATAAGTCAGCGAACTGCATCAGACTGCTATCTGTTGAAAATTGCGAAGTAGTGAACTTTAGGATACATTGATCATGGAGTGTGCAAACCAGAGTCGGAGAACATGAAGACAAACTGTAACACAATTTACCACAAGTTGTAAGAGCAAATCATTTTATGACGTCTTTGATCGGACATTTAGCCAGCAAAGTGCTACATATGACAACCGAGGATTGTTGCATCAAAATCCAGCAAGGGAGACAATGGTGGGGACTGCACCGAGGTGCGTCACATGCGAGACACATTTGCTTGAGGCTCCGGCTTCAAATCCGGATTAAATATACATTATATTTACGATGCAGTTCAGAGAAGTCGCTAAGGTAGTCTCTCATCGCTGCCGCATTGATCCCCTTGCGGAAGCCAGCCTCTCATTACTAAGTATTGGCAATGTTTATAGCTTGATTGTCTGTTCAAAATATCTCACTGTTCTCTTATGTCTCTCCATTTCACTTTTTTTAAACGCAATATCTGTTGATTCATGCTTGTGTGGCGGTGATGCGTTGTTGCAGAGTGCTGATGCTGATAATGCCTTTTATCGCAGCATCCCAAAAGCAGGTTTTAACTCATCTTGGAAAGTTTTTTGTCACCTTTGCGGTGCTCATCTTCGTAAGTAATCGATGGACATAATATGACATTACCATATCTCTTTCTTTTAGTGTGGCTGTCGACAGAGATCCCACTTCGTTCCCTGTCACCAGCGGCATGCACCAAGGTTGTCCTATTTCACTTTTCACTTCGTTGTTAATTCACGAATAGATCAGATACCATCTAGTTTAATCTCTAAAGCGGCTACAAGCCTGGTCATCTCAACCGGCTGACTAGGTTTGAGCAATTCACAGCGATGGCTGAGCTTGAGCTGTTTAACTTACATATATATATATATATATATATATATATATATATATATATATATAAAACCTCAATTACCATCACTGGATTCGTTGGAACCTGCACTATCAATTACTTACCTGACATTGTTTGTGGACGGGATGAAACAAAGGAGGCAGCTCAGTTTGGGTGCTGTTTTCCCTCCTAGCTCTCATGTTAGCACTAAGGCCGCCCACAGCTTTTGTTAGCGGAATTAAAACAAGAGTAGATTATGGCTACATTAGAACTGGAAGTGACACAGCTCAAGCTCAGTCATCGCTGTGAATTGCTCAAACCTAGTCAGGCGGTCGAGATGACCAGGTTTGCAGCCGCTTTAGAGAATAAACTAGATGGTATCTGATCTATTCGTGAATTAATGATGAACAGTTTGCCACTAATCGATAGCTGCATCGATGACTGCGTATCTTCTGTTAGGAAAAACTCAGTGGTGCAGACAGATGTTGAGTTTGGTTACGAAGTAGCTGCCTTGACTGCCGTTGTGACTGCTGCTGTACAGCCGCTCTTCCTGGAAAGATGGTTCTTCAATGTGGAGCTGACAAGCGCCCCTCTTCACTTTCGCAAGGAAGCGAGCAAGTTGTGTCATCTAACCGATGTGGGTTTCGAAAGTATCGAGGAACCATAAGGACCATTGCTGATCGGAGTTTATGTGCCTGAAACCCATTGGTTATTGAAGCAGAGGCTAGGAGGTCGGAAAAAACCCTGTACAGTCAAGATTTTACTCAGTTTAGTTTTATTTAGTCTTCTCGAAACACAAAAGCAAGTTATAGCTATTGCTACTAATCTAGAGACAGGTAAAGCCTCTTGGTCCGACCAAGTACAAAGTATGTACAACACCGAGTTCCCAGACTTTGAGTCTTGTAAGCCGTCACCGTCCGTTGAGGATGCCGCGGTTCTTATTTTGCTTAGAAGAAAGACGCGTTTGCATAACTGTTTCGACGTGATCCCGCTACTGTGGCTCGATCGTGGCGGATTTGTGCCAGACAACCGACCGCTTGCAGAAATAAGACTATTGCTTCTAAACCAACGGTTCGCTCGTGATAAAGGTTTCTTTCTGAAATTCGTTACAGCTGCAACGATAATCCTTGCCATAGGGTGCGCAAACAACCCCCCACTCCACCCCAGAAATGCTAATAATGCATACCTCGCCTCGGTGGTAGCTGATTCATCATGCTACAACTACTCCCAAAAATCCCGATAAGCTTCAAGTAACTTTTGAATGTGCAACTGGGTTTTCGAGTTTTAAGGTTTGGCTACTTAGGCATCGCCCGTATGTCCGCTTCTAGTTCGCGAACTGGAACAAAGCAAGCCAGACGTTCTTCGGATGATATCTTCTCATGTTTACGCTAGCGAACTCGAGTTTACTGACACTTAATGCCGCGTCCAAACCCTACCAGCTGAAGAGTTCCCCTCGACCTCTCTACCCAGTGTTACCTAAGGATCTCATGTGTGTGTGCGGACGTCTAGGGTATACCAATTACATTGAGGTCACTAAGTGCCGCGCTTTACTGTCGAACAAACATACCCGTGGTGTACTTGATCATACGGCACTATCACGAAATCGAAAGCCAGCGCGGAGCTTTCCATGTTATAAGTGTTATACGAGCTACTGTATTTACATAGTGCTGGCCCCGTGAATAGGGCCATCAGGCGATGTCTAGACTGTTGTAACCGGACCGCACTTCCATACCAGCAACAAATGTCCCCGCTTTCACGGGCCAGAGCAGATAAAGAGTGGTTTCCACTCAAGTATACCGGCATAGGTTATTTTAGGTCTATTTACGTGTAACGTGGTCCGGGGACGGAAAAACATTTCGGTCGCCTATTTGCCTGTCTACAAACCATGGCTGTTCATTTCGAGGTGGCCCCATAACCTTTCTACTTATGCGTTCGTTGCAGTACTTATCCGTTTCGTTACCGGACGCGGTTACCCAATCGATATTTATGGCGCTAATGGGACGAACTTCGTCTCAGCAGTGAAAGAACTACGGGGCTGCATCCAGGGACGGGGTCAATGGGTTATCAATCGAAAATTGCTTGCTCGTAGAATACAATGGCGTTTCAATCCACCCACTTCTAGTCACCGAGGAGAAGCATGTGGAAGGATAATCCGATCGGTACGAAAAGTGTTCAATAGCGTATGTAACCAGCAAAGCCTACCCGGCGATTCATTTGCTACCATATTTGTTAAAGTCGAACGAATCTTAAACAATCGTCCCTTAGTAGCGCTGACAAACGATAGTCGCGACGAGTCCCCTCTGATACCGAACTCCTTGTGATTTCGGCCGCCGAATTGCTGAAGCTTCAACACACTGAAGCAGGCGAGGTTTGCTCTGTCGGTTTATTATCTTGAACGATTCGCGTGGATTTTGACATATGGAGCTGTCTAGAATGTGTTGGACAATGGAGCGTTCCGGCAGCTTGGGATCTTTCGTGCCCATGTTACGTGGAATATGTTCTTACATCCTGGTTGACAGCCTTCTCTCAGTTCGGCCCACACACTTGCTTCCACAAGTACTGCACGAAATATTAGAACGTCCAACCGCAGACAACAAGCAAGATAGCAAGCGATAGAAACGGGTGAACTGCATCCTTACCTTATTTTTGCACAGATGGCTGTGAGAATACCTCACTACCTTGCAAGTACGACATAAATGGTTGCATCCAGAAAAGGAGTTGCTTGTTGGTGACGTAGTACTAATCGCTTCCGAAAATGTGCCTCGGAGGCGGTGGGCTATATCTTGTCGTTGATTGTGAAAGCAGTGCTGACGGATTAGTAAGGACTGTTTCCGTCAAGAGTAGTGAGAAGGGACATAAGACGGTTATGCCGTCTAGATGACGACGGATAGCACCTTTTCAGTCTCGTTGTGGGTGAATGGTGATAGTCACGGAGAACGGCTTTCATCCAAACGCACCTATGACATATGAGGCGCCAAAGAGGAGCACGTGCAAAACGTCTTCTATCATTGTGATGAAAGCTTCTCAAAGCTTAAGTCCTTAGCAGCTGTGAGCGCATGTAAGATAGCATCATAGAATGAGAGCCAGAGTTGCATCAGCCATAAGCTACAAACGCGCAGAGGGATTTTGGAGGGCAGTGCAGTGGGATCTTCCATGATTGGATAATTCGTCTGGAACTTGCTATCGGTTGGCATTTAGCTTGTACTTTTCCGATCATTCAACTTTCATCATCGGTGCTCGTGCACCGTACCGTGCCCTCAAAAGACCCGGATAATGTGCTCACTCTCATGCCCCCCCTCAAATGTACTTACTTTGATAACTGCCCATTTTCTCGTACGCTCACACTCTTGTCCTGTGGTTCACTTCATTCCATCACTAACGATAGTTGACCTTATTTGACTGTCGTAGGTGGACCGCACTTCCATATCACCAACAGATGTCCCCGCGTCCACGGGCCAGAGCAGAGAGAAAGGCTGCTTTCACACGTCGAATCCGTAGGCAAAGAATTGTCCAGTCATGCTGTGAGTGACACATTTTCATTTATTCAACAGGTAGATGACCTATATGTGAATCCAAAATTGATGCTCTCTTTTGATATGGAATCTCTTTACGAACGTTGCATTGTTGGAAACGGTCACTTTCATCTGTGGATAGCTAACAGAGAGAAACATTGCTCTTCTTATCCCTATTCGCAGTGTAAAAGGGCTGATTCTACGTTGCATGTTAGATAGGCAGTTACTATATGCTGGGAAATACTATCGACAAATGGACGGTTGCAATAGGATCGTTGCTTGCAAAAAAAATTTCAAAAGTTGAACGTGAACTTATCAGACACCTTATCACACCCTTTGATTATTACCAACACTACATGGATGATACATTTCTCGTTTGCGACTCTCAAACTGATCATTTTCACTTGTTGAAGCAATTGCACAAAGCGCACCTGTCGTTGTAATTCACCCGTGAGCATGGCGCGATCTGGTCATGAAGACAGTTGTCAAGGTGCAGGAGAAAGGCCTCATGCATGCAGAGAAGAAGCGGCAAGCACCGATGTGTTTTACTCCATTGACATCAAGTGCATGGTGCTGTAGAACATGCGGTCGCGATTGCCTGAGTCAGGCAGGCCTAATGAGCTATGAGCGAAACCACTCAGGGCCACTACCGAAGCGACGACGGGTCCTGCAGAGAACGTAGGCAGAACCGGCGCAGCGTTTATAGGTATGCTGCATTCGATTTACTAACCACTTGCTTACATTCTGGATCTCTTTATTTCAGGTGTTGGGTTTGCTATGTTGTCTCATTATTGCCTACGCGTACTATCTGCACACGTCGCTCAAGTTCATTGTGGTTAACTTTGCTAACATTTTCGTTTTTGTGACGTTTTCCTAAAATATATTTTCTGACGTCTTGAAACTATAGCGGATATTTTGGCAACCAATTTATTTCATATGCTCATTTATTAAAGAGCTATGTTAGCATACTTGTATGCATTATTCGATCTATTTTATTTGATATTATTGTTTTAAGTGATTGGCTGTTGTTTGATATCCCCCGTGTGGCTGCGCTCGATGTGCATGTTGACAAAGTGCCTACCTGTCTGTTACCCAATACCTCGTCCATACCGGCTGTAGGAGACAGTTGGTCGTTGCTGGAGGGGGCGGGGTGCACGGTCCTTGTGGCTGTGCAAGGTTCGAAGAGCGGTTCCAAGCACTCAATGTGGAGCGGACTACGGCGCAGTCACCGTCTTGTTAGCACTTGATTCCCCGAATACAGCATGCTTGTGTTTGTCTGTGAAAGAGTGTGGTCCGGCTCCGTTGATGAAACGTTGCTTCCGTCCACATGCCTCCCGGTCTTATTCCTTCGGGTTTACACTGGATATGGGATGTGTGTTTGGAGCTGTGGGTGTTGCAGCGCTAGCCATCCATGATCCCTCTGTAGGCGCGGGCATCCTGTGGCTGGCCACAGTGACAGGGAAATCCGAAACCGGATGCCGCCAACCACATATGACAGGTAGGCACGTTGTCAACATTCACATCAGGTGCAACCACACCGGGGAGTTCAATCAACAGCTAACCCCTAAAAGTCAAACATACTCATCACGCAAGCAAGCGTACCACATCCTCCGCCTTATTGCTGCCTGAGCTACGTGCACATACTCAAAGAACATTTTTTGCGTAGGCTTAATCCTTAGCACGTGGCAATACCACATATTCGCTGCTTACGGCCTCGTTGGTAGGACTTCAATCGCAGCAGATTTTCGGGTTTTGGAGCACCTCGAGGAGCTCAATGGCCTAGTGATCATGGCGATAACTGCCAACTACTGTGCGCCGAGTTCCACTCCCAGCTCGGCTATCTCTACCTGATGAATCTAAACAAAGACGAAACCATCGGTCATGGAGTGCAGAGACTGGAGAGAGCCACAACGAATCCTTCCACATCAACCGCCGTACTTTATCAACTAAGTCTCGCTGTCCATTACCAAACATGCGGCTTTCAAAACAGTGTTCGCGCAGTTTTACGAATGTTGCATGGCAGTCATCCAAGTAGTTAACTGTTTGTACGTACCGCTGTCCATCGCATTGAGGCTGCACCTTACCATGATGCAATGGTTTGTGTGTCTCAGCGATCCATTGAGCTATGCTGGGTGGTGCTTTTGCACCTTCAGAGTCACTCATACCAGATTGGTCAATGGTTAGAGGCCAGACAAACTCACCCTCCTGGTCCTCCAGGTTGGGGGTTGGAATGAGGGTGGCTGCTTATTCCTTAAAACGAACTCCTTGTAGCCCAGTGCCAAACCCGCTGCCTTGCGGATAGGTTTTTGAACCAAAGGCTTTGGTTGAGAACCCTAATCGTTCTCCTATCTAGGCCTGGGCAACCTGACAGTATCCTGCCCACGCAGTACAATGAATCTTTCTTCAAACAGTTTCTTGATGCTCTGGCCACCGCAGAGGATAATCAACGGTGCCCTATCTGCTGCATCGAGCATGGTGGATATCGGTTTGGATGCTACTGCTCAAACCTTCTCGTCTTCTTATTCCCCCTCTTATGCTTTTTCACTCTTACCGTCCCGTTCCAACTTCACTTATATCCCCTCAGTTTTCAAGCCCTCGATTCTTGGCCCTCCCCCAACATGCTTTGCTAGGCATTTATCTTCTTATTTCAACTCACATGTGAACGCGGAGCGTCACTCCTCTCCTGTCGACAAGCCCATGGCCAACCATGCGGTCCACCCCAGTTCATCGGCTTCCATTTGGAGCCCTCGATCTTCCTTCAGATTGGCATGCCTCAATGTACGCACATTACTACAGACCGGTCAACTGGCAGCACTTGTCCGAACATTGGAGACCCTCTCGATCGATATCTGCTGCTTATCAGAGACCCGCCTGCAAGACTCGAGCTCTGTGCTCATTCTGCGACCCACTTCAGGTGACGCAAGCAGTATTTTCTCATTGCGCCTATCCGGTGACAATGCAGGTTCGAGCACCGGCCAAGCTGGTGTTGGCATTGCCCTGAGTCCCCGGGCTTAAGCTGCTCTGATTGATTGGATTCTAATCAGTAGCCGGATGTGTGCGGTCCGATTGGCTGGCTCGTTTAAAGCTTCGAAGTCGCGCGGGACTAATAGGTGTCTATTCATCATCGCTGCCTACGCGCCCACAAACTGTAGCGATGATTCGGTAAAGAACGACTTCTACCGCCAACTGACCCATCCCTTTCACCACAGGAGAAGCACAGACACTGTTGTGCTGGCGGGGGATCTGAACGCACAAGTTGGAAAGTTTTCCACTGATGAAATGCATCTGGTTGGTCAGCACTGTGTAGGCTCCCGTAATGATAACGATGAGCGATTACTTCTTTTGTGTGAAGATGCTCGTTTATTTCTTGCGTGCACTAACTTCTGACACAGCACCCGCCAGAGGGTGACTTGGCGCCCACAAGCCTCGAACCAGCCTTGGGCGTAGATTGATCACATTGCTATCAGTTACCGATGGAGAGGCTGTGTCCAGAACTGTCGCTCGATTTGGAGCACATGTGTGGACACCGACTGTGCAATTGTATGTACTGACAGGCGGATGCGCTTTGGCGGACGCCCACGACGACGCTGTGAGCGCATTGACACCAGCCAACTGACAAAGCCAGCTGTTCTGAATGCGTATCAAAGTACGCTGACATGTGAGTTGAGTAATCGCTCACTGGAGACAATTAATGGCCACCAGTCACAGGTTCGCCAGATCTTGCTAGCAGCAAGCAACTCCTCATGTGGTATGTCTATTAGTCAACATGGATATTGGGTCTCTTCGCGGTCTCTGGAACTTATCGACGCTCGCCGGCATATCCCGGCTGGAAGCGAACACAATGAAACTCGCAAAGAGCTCCGGGCGAAACTCCGTGCTAGCCTGAAGAGAGACCGCGAATCTTGGTGGTCTCATCGTGCGTCAGAGATGGAAATGGCCGCTGCCCTTGGCAACCATCGTAAGTTATTCCGTCTGATATGGGAAACGGGCAGCAGGAGACCTGGTGTTAGTGAAACAATTTGTGATGAGAGTGGACAGCCTATCCACAATTTGTCAAAACGTTTGGAGCGTTGGGCTGAGCATTTTGAAAAGCAATTTAATCGGCTAGAATTGTCCGATTCGCCGGTCACTGATCGCCCTGCTCCGTGGGCTGTCCCTTTGGATCCACCCTCTCGCTCAGAGGTCGAACGTGAGATCGGACTGTTGAAGTTGAACAAAGCCGCTGGACCAGATGATCTTCCTCCAGCCCTCTTCAAATTCGGAGGCTCTGCTCTTGTTGATGCTTTACATGAATTACTAGTGAAACTGTGGGAGCAGGAGACAGTCCCAGCCGATTGGAGCTGCTCTGTTATTGTTTCCATCTTCAAATGCGGCTCGCGCTCGGAATGCGGCAACCATAGAGGAATCAGTCTGGTCTCCATCGCCTCCAAATTACTCGCCTCCATAATTCTGACTGACTGGCGCTCGCGAAAGCCAGATTCGTGAGCAGCAAGCCAGGTTTCGTCGGGGTCGTGGCTACATCGACCACATGTTCACCTTGCGTCAGTTGTTGGAGCACCGACTCATTCATTGGCGGCCGACTCTAGTCGTGTTGCTCGACATCAGAGGTGCCTTCGATTCGGTTGATCGATGTGCCCTTTGGAATTGTCTACTCAGGAAGGGTATGCCCGAGAAATATGTAAATACTATCCAAGCATTATATTTGCGTAGCACGGGCAGAGTGAGGGCTTACGGCAAGCTGTCGCCACCCTTCAATATCTCCAGTGGTGTGAGACAAAGATGCCCGCTGTCGCCTTTTCTTTTCAACTTAGCTATTGACGAAGTCATGAAGATTGCATTTACGGGACACGACTTGGAAGGTGTGGAGCTACTTCTAGGAAAACTACTTCTTGACTTGGAATATGCTGACGATATTGCCCTCATCTGTGACAGTTCCCAGACGTGCCAACGGCACTGGACAGATTAGCACTTGCTGTCAGCTGCTTC